GAAAACCCGTCCATACACAACCCCCTCTACGACCTCCTCCATCTTCCTTTCCCACTGTGATAGCCTTGCTCAACCCCAAAATGCGACCTCCTCTTCAAATAGCACGAACGGGCGGTTGACCCTGAGATCCCATTTCTCCGGTTGTGGGCCGTTTCTCATGATTTTGCTTCATCCTTGTACCAGGACCCACCTTATCTCGATTTCTAAAGGGTAGCCTTTCCATAGTAAACTCCGCCGAACATTACAATGGCTAAGGTCATGGGTATAGCTATGTTTCGTCTGAGAAGGTTTTTCCAGAAATTACTCTAGCTGATCATAGATCAGAGGAGAGGCAACGGTAGAGGATGCGAAGGATGCGGCACAATTACAAAATCCAACAACCACGAATACACCAGGACAAAAGTCCTTGACGGCAGTGATGTGGTATTCTCCTAGTATAACCTAATCCATAATAACTGCAAGGTAACAGCTTTATTGTACTGCGAAATGCCATGGAATAAATCAACTGAAAAGCCTGTCGCCACACTTGTGGGAACATTCGGATCAGGGATTGCTGTGCTAACGCGGAGCCTCTCGTAAAGTCTCTACTGAAATAAATATAGTATTATACAAGGCTGTGCACATATGCCTACAAAGACTTCAAATGATCACTTACTTCTTATCAAAAATACATTTGAGGAACACGTGGTGTGTGCTATCCGTGTTGGTTTTCAGCCATGTAGCACATCCAACTCTTGAGGCCGTAAGCATCTTAGGTAAGGAAATTGTGAACCATTGTTCATTTCCGCTCATGTTTATATTGCATTTGTTTTTCTTTTCCTTGTTGTGTTTTCTGGACCCCCGTTAACGTAAGGCAGTGCTTCACCTACCTGACCTAAATGTGTCCCTGTACTAACGGCTTTTGTAATTAACTCCCACAGAGTTTTCTCCAGGTAGTCTTCGATATCACTGAAATTTCAATCATGGTCTGCATAAGAAAAAAAGCGCGTCACCGCTGAAAGCATGGATATCTCTAACGCACTACGTTGCGAAGAAGTCTTAACGGAAATACCTTTCTACACTGAATCCGAAGGGGCTGATTCCTTGAAAATCTTCCTGTATAGGCGGTTTCTGCAAGTCCACAGTCATAGGTCTGTAAAAAGGGACAAATTGCCATCAAGCACTTTGCGAAGGATCTGACCGACCCGCATGGCGTCAGCCTCAAACTTTCTGTGCGGTAGTGGGCAATGTGAAATCTAATACTCAATAATTAACATTACATAGTAGCATGACTGGAAACTAACAATTAATGATGGGCTATAAGGTCTGCCGAACCTAAAGTAAGTACATGTCATACTCAAAGGCCGACGTCTGATGAAAAATCCGAAATCTCATCTTAGCAGAACAGGTCTTGCTTTAGGTTGAACAACGTCTGAAATGCCATCACTTACTATGTTTTTCTGACCAGGTGTCATTTTATTGCGCTGTATATTCATAGCATCAACTATCTGCCCCTGAATTCCCTTGGGAATATTTCTGTCACAAAAATGGCCTGAAAACACAATCAGATCAAATGAATAGCGATATGTTTTCAATGCACATGATAGCAAACCTGCAGCATGTCCTACGTTGTACAAAAGTACATAGCACAGCTGAAAAGTACAGTAATATCTCTCGACAGATTATTAGATTACTGTAATGCTTTCGATTAAGAAACATCCTGCTCATTTGCTGAGTGCGATTTGTTTACTTCTCTCATGTTGGGAAATATTACTAAATGCAGTCATGAGAAAAAATTCCTTCTGCTTCAGAAAATGACAGAACGGGTAGCAAAACTTACCACTGGAAGAAACGAGTGCATTGTGAACGAATAAAGGATAAAAGGATAAAGCATTTGCCGTTGATCAATCCCTTTTGGGATGCGGCACGCATTCTACTTCCATTTGTACATTCGCAGTGGCGTTTGAATGCGATGTGGCCTATACAATGACTTGCGGGGGCCAGCCGATGTTCAAGTCAGTGTTTTTATCCTCCCAGACAAGTCTGGTACCAATTAACCGACCCCGGAGGGATGGAAGGCTTGGTTGGCCCGGGCGACTCACGACCCAGGATTTGATCCCGGACCGCTCGCGTGGTGAGCGCGCCACTTGTCACTGCACCACTTCCGCCCTTTTATGAAAAGTGGGATGCTTTGATAAATGCGGCCGACGGTCAGGTGGGACAATGCGTTCCAGTCAGAAAAACAACGCTAGCAAAACAAGATGAAGCCATCCGTTTCGACAACGTGTCTGTGGCATTGCAAACACCGCAGCCTTCAAAACACGGTCGACTTTTTCAAGCACTCTTTACATGTGTTTGCCCGTAGAAGGGCGAAGAACACATTTATTGAGTAATTTTTTTTTCTAGTGCGACTTTCTCGTTGCAAATAGCACACGAATCGGGACATGGTTGGTTTGTTTAATATGTATCCATCAAAAATCGTATGCTTGCAAGGAATGACGGCGTTGTAATCAATGGCCTCCTGTTGTTTCAGCTACAAGCTTTGATGCAAACACGACTGCGATCTCGTATGCTGATGAGCTTCATTTCTTACCTCCAGAAATATTTAGTGTGATCTCTAAGGGGTCATTTTGTCACGGGATGTGAGATATTGCGCTAAAAACGAAGTTATTTGTGATATTCAGATCGACCAGTAATGAACGGAAGCTAACATCTCTCTTCTTGTTAGTCCCCCGCGTTAGTCGCAGGGTCCGCTGTCTTTGTCAGCCGTCGCCATGTTGTTCTATCCAGAGCATCTTCTGCTGTGACCCCCCTCAGTGAGGTCCTTCTTGATGACGTCTCTCCACCTCTTCTTTGGGGCTCCTCGTGGCGCTTGCCTTGTGGCTGCAGTAGTCAATTGCTGTCGATCGGCGGGATCTGAGTGGCCTCCTCACGCACGTGGTGTCACCATCGCAGTCGTTGTTCCCTCACCTTCAGCTGGACAGGGGCAGTCTGCATGACCGCTCTGACATCCTCGTTTCTGACCCTGTCCAGTCGCGTCCAGCCGCAGGCCCATCTCAGCATCCTCATCTCAGCGGAGTGAAGCTGCCTTTCGTGATTCTTGTTCAGGGGCCAGCACTCGCTGCCGTATAGCATCGCAGGCCTTACCACTGTTCGGTACACCTTCCCTTTGAGCGTTCTGGAGCACCTTCGATCGCAGAGGATTCCAGTGGATTCCCTCCACTTCATCCAGGCCGCGTTGATTCGTGCCTTCACTGCCTGATCCACACTTCCGTCGGCTGCTAGATCGCTCCCGAGGTATCGGAAGTCCTCCACCTTTTGATGCATTCCCCACTCCCGTCCACAATCGGCTCTGTACCCTCTTCAGGAGCTGAGGAACTTGTCTTCTTGACATTCAGCCGGAGCCCGCCTTCTGCCAGGACCTTCTGCCATTTCTGCACCTTGGCTCTAAGCTATCCGCTATCAGGGCGATGTCGTCAGCGTAGAGGATGGTCTTTAGTGGTCCTTCCATGAGGCCCTTCACCATGACATCTAGTTAGGAGGAACAGGAAGGGGCTCAGAGCTGACCCTTGGTGCACCCCAACCGTGATGTTTACCTCCTTTGTTAGGCCGTGTGGGGTGCGTATAGCTGCCTTAGGCCCCTTCGTACATGTCCTTCACCAGAGAGATCAGGTGTTCTGGCACGTTTCGTTCCCTAAGCGACCTCCATAGCACCGCTCGCGGCGGTAGCCGGTCGAACGCCTTTCCAGGTCGAGGAAGGCTGTAATGAACTAGGCCTATACATCACATAATCAAAACCACGTGGCTTGCCAGGCAGTAAGACACCTCACGAAAATATCAGTTCAGGTATTTCCCCATTTTCTTTTCATCGATCTAAGCATATAGATGAAAAAGAGTGACAGAAGTTATTTCAATCCTTGTCGCTTGGAAACATATGTTGTGATTTATTTTCACTGGAAACAACACGGTCAAAAATAATTTTTTAAACAAAAAAGCGAAAGTAAACAAAATCTATTCTGGTCGAACTTCTATTACTACCGACAAGTTGAACACCTTGAACATAATGAAAGACATTCTGCTCGCCAAACAAACGCGCATATGTACAGGGGGGGGGGCAAAAAAAAGAGTCACTTTGCCTATGGCGCATATCATCAAACTTTTCGTCGCAAAGGATGCCGCTGTTATTGGGAGTTATACGGCAAATTATTCCTTAGATGTCCCCCCATAAGCAGAATCAGGCCCACCTTCGCTGCGTTCACCGTCTCCAGAATATGACGTCATCTGTCATCACCGTCGAGCTTAAGGAGGCCTACAATAATCGCTCCATTCTGAAGCTGCTACATAAATTCTTCAATCGGATAACTGGTGAATGACTTCTTAGAGACACTAGCTCTGACTATGCAAAATGGCTTTTGACCAGCGTTTCAGAGACGTCGTAATCATCTATGGTTTCTCGACGACCCCGTTGAGCTCGTACCGCGAACCATGTTTCCGTGGGAAAATCTTCTGGTGTCGTCGGTTTAGAAGGCCACTATGCAATGTTTTTGATAGAATAGAATGTGCTCTTCAATATGCAATTGAGCTCATTCGAGGAGCCGGGAGGCCCGCGGGGCGTTTATTTTGCAAAGTGCAATTTATTGCTGTTCTTAGAATCGTGATAGGAGTGATCTTTTATTACTCCCGACGAGTTGCAGCACCTTGAACATAATGAAAACATTCTGTCGCATACAAACATTGCGTATGTATATCTCAAAATCCACGGTTATGAGGTGAGCGAAGGCGCCTGCAAAATCGCTCCGGTCCCACGCGCCAACAAAGCCAAAATACGTGATGTCGTCAACGTGTCAAATAGGCTTCAGGTGAAAGCTCTTGAGGCGGTTAGGGCATGGTTTCATCCACGAAAACATTACTCATACATTGCTTCTACTTAGAGGCACCGGTCAGGATACTGTTGTATTATTTTGTTCAAAAATCAGACAAAAAGTGCAATGAGAAACGTTTCTGGGGAGAATAAGCAAAAAGCGCCTCAGAACCAATATTGTCCTTCTGACGATGAACTCGGACGTGGTATGACAGAAACACAGATACTATGTGGGGTTGTGTGCGAGAGAGCGCAGACGCCACGTATGCCATGATTGATAAGGTTGGCAGCACTGCAGCACACAAGGCCTTAGCGCCGTTGCTTCGCGCTCCTGCGCTGGAGAAGACTCTTGCTTTTACTCATCTCTAGGAACGCGACTTGCGCACCTAACTGTCGACCGTTGCTTTAAAAATGGTTCCTTGACTTCCGATGGTTTTCAAGAAGCGATTGACTCAGAATATTTGAACTCGGCCCGTACAAAGATCATGCTCCTCTTAACCGAGCGACTAAGTCTCAGCATTTTCTGAGTACGGTAAATCCTTTAGCAGTTGCTGCAGCGATCGATTAAGTCATATGGCTAATCTTCCTCTACAATATGATTGTAGAAAGCTTGAATCTACTCTGATTGTGTGATTGAGAATATAGACAATGAACATTGGGGCATTTTTCGATTCCACTACTGTTGTCCTCATTCGTTCTTCTGCTCTTCAACACTCCAGAACGCAAATATACTAGACATGGAAACTATTTAAAGGCATCTTCTCGACCAGGCCGCAAGATCAATCAAATTTGTTAGAGTCTATGAAGGATTAGGTGCGTTAACTCGTATCAATCAAAATTTGTTAGCTATGAAGGTATTAGGTTAACTCGTAAGTAATGCATGCCTTCACTACCAGAATCGAAACCTGATAAGTTTCCCTAAAAGCCGATGCTACTAAAGCTTGGCAGACTTGTGTACAATCTTCGGCATAAGCATACAACCTCAGGTCGGTTTGAAGTGTTCCCGACCAAGTTAGCAGCTTCTCAGGACCAGAGGAACGCAGCGAGTGGTACCGGTTTTCACGAGCTCATATGAATATCATGGATTGGGGACCGTCGATGAGCCAAATTGCTGTATAACCTTTGGACTTTCATTCGCAACGTGTAGACATTCAACATGTGATCTCGAGTCGTCATCCAATGGAAAAACTTCATCTACAGTAAGCCAAAGGATTGCAAGATTCTCAGCAAATCCACGCAGTTGCAAGGTGTATAAACACTTCAACGAACAGAGAGCAAGACCTACTTTAATCAGAGCTCTCTCTTACAAACTCCGCTTTGGCTGTTCAGCTGCACGCGGAACCTCCAAATTTTGCTTACACAAGCTATTCTCTTATCTCTAGTGACGCTTTCCCAAGGCTTCTGAAATAATGATTTCTGGTCATCAGTACTTGTCAGATGTTCGTGTTCGTCAGGCGTAAGTGTTCGCCTCAGAAGGTGAACTCGAAAGAGAGGGTTTCAGCTCTAGACAGAGGGAATTACAGGTGCTCCCGTTCTGACACATGAAAAAACCGTCTGGGCACCTTCACCGCACATTGAATGGGCAGCATGAACCTACTTTGGCGAGAATGGCAAAGGTTTAAAAAACCGGACATCGCTTGCGACTCTGCCTAGTAGAATACGAAGCTGTAGCATTGTCGCTATTGCAGCTGGATGGGTGACCACAAAGAACCCTTCAAGAAACTTGATCACATTTCACGCCATGTTCGTCATCATGCATGATCAGCTAATAGGGCGAGGTGTCT